AATGCTGAGTAATTGGTTGACAGCTGAGTCCCCTGAACTAAAATCTGACTGATTATTGCTGATAATTTGATAGTCAAGTAGGTAATTGTATACGTGTTTATACGCACACCTTTCAAATACTTTCCCTAAGATACAGAGTAATGAGATTGGTCGGTAGTTTTAACATCGTCTCGACTATCTTTTTTGTGAACAGGTATAATATTTGCTTTTTTTCCATAAGTTCGGGAAGATTCCCGCAGACAATGATTCGTTGAAAATAGACAATACTGGTTCGCTTAGAGGAATGGCTGCCTCTTTTGAAACTAATAAAAGCAGTCCAATAGCTTTACTCCAGTCAAGGTGAGGAAGAACATCATGGACATCAGTTTTCGATATATGAATTATGTTTAGGTTACTTTGATTTTGAATTTCTATGGAATGAGGGATATCAGTTGAAGAATCATCAACTGAGGACTGATTAGAAAAATATTCATTAAACTCGTTTGCTTTATCAACATCGTGCTCATAATAATTGTTATCATAAAGAATAGTTGGGATTTCATCAGATTTACCCATGTCTTGCATAAATAGTTTTACGGTCTGCCACAAGGATTTATTCTTAAAATCTGGATCGACCGATTAAGTGGATAACTTGTTATAATATTTAATTTCTGATTGTCTAATGATATTTACACACTTATTACGAGTCTGTCTGAACTGTAACCAGTCTGAAGATTTGTTAATTACTTTAGCCTTTTTTATGATTTTTTTTTACGTTTAAATATCATAAGCCGTATTTCTTGATTCATCCATGGATGGTCGTTTTTTCTTATAAGAACGTTTTTACTAGGGACAGAAGAAGTTGTACAAGCATTAATATGATTATTCAGGAAGGTAATTACTGAGTCTATGTCAGCGACATCGGTGAGTGACCAATCGATTTCAGCAAGTACATTTCTCAGTTTATTGTAATAGACATATTTTTATAACCAGATCTTCCTTCTGTATCAGAAGGTCTGGTTTATACAGGTTTTTTTTTTATATTCAATGACGCATAGATTGACAAAAATGACAGTGATACCTTATCGGTTGGTCTAGAAAAGATTCTCTTACTTATGATCTGTCTATTATGAAGTTGTTGTTTACTAAAATAACATCAATTAATGATGAGGTGTGTTCAGTATATTGAGTGCACTCTGTAATTAATTGCTGTAGACCGTAAACGGTCATAGTTTTTGTCAAGATAATTTGAATTATGGGTTCGGGCTAACTGATTTACATTTAGATCACCAGTTGTAACTATATTGTTTATACCTGTGTTACTAGCATTTTCGATAGATTCCTCATTTTTTTCCCATCAGTTAATATTATAGTTTGGAGGTCTATAATATGTTACCAGTAGTATATGCATTCCACGTGTAACTAACTCAATCCACACGCATTATATTTGATTCATTTCCAAATCAACTCTACGCTTAAAAGATATATTGTTTTTCGCGTAAACCGCCACGCCCCCTCCTGCTTGGTCGCTACGACAGTAGCAGGCTGGATTTTGAAAACCCGGGATGTCTATAGATCAGTTTATGTCGGAGTCTGTTAGCCATGTCTCTGTGAATGCTAGTATGCTATGGGAGTGGAGTTCAGTGTATAGCACATCTAGTTTGGGACGTAAACTTTGGACGTTTAGATGTACTAATGAAAGAGTATTTGAAATAGAGTGATCGAACTAGAATCAGAGGAGAAAGATGAATTGGATGATGCAGAGTTTGAAGGGCCAGGATTTAATTCAATATCACCACATTGTAACAAAAACAGGGACATTAGAATTATTAGAATGTACATTGCTAGCTCAGTCACTACATGTAGTATAGCTTTGTGAGGGGGGAGTTTCCTGTATGTATTTCAGAAACGTTGTTTGTTATCTTCAGTGATTTTGATATCGCAACGTCATAAAATAGGCCTATTCTTGATCGTTGCATATCAGGACTTATAGGCATTAAAAATGATGTTATACCAGTTTGTGGCTTGCATCGCCCATGAATGCCTAATTGATCTATGCATTGACCACAAAGCTGACCAAACGTAGATACATATATTATCTATATCGCAATATACCATTAAAACAATGCAGTTCATTGAAAAAGACATAGATATAAATAATAATAACATAAGACATCTGATATATACAAAAATGAATGAAAACATTATTGTTAACAGAGTTAACATCAGAGCTCCATTTCACCATGGAAATAATTAGATACTAGAAAATATGTATTTGAAAATAAATTTACATGTGACCTAGTAATGGACTTTACTAATCAAACATGGTGTTTAAAGTCACGGATATAATGTTGAACAGTGGATGGGGAACAGAAAATTAGCTGCAGTGGTATCTGATAACGGACAGCAATTACTACTGCATTAAACGATTTCTTGTTAGATACTTATATTTGGTAATTAAACGTTCGTAGTTAAGTACTAAGCCACCATACCATTAAGTCAGGAAAATGGCGTATGCTAATGGGAAGGGATGTGAGTTTAGTCATCGGTATTATCTGATACCAGTGAATAAATTCACAGTGAAGTAAGCAGTATGTTTTGTGGTTTATATTTATCTTTATAATTATCTTACTTGTATCTAAATGTTGACAACGAGTATGATGTAAAAAATATAGCTGATATTATGTCTAATAGTAGCATTAGGAAACTGTAACTTTCTTATTAGTATACCCCCCGCATCGAAGTTAGGGGGAGGGGTATACTGAAATCTGTCTCTCTGTCTGTCTGCCTGTCTGTCTGTCTGTTATCTTGCTTGCTTTCTGCTTGCTTGACACTTGTGAACTGATTTTGATAAAACTTCAAAGGAATATTAAGGACTATGTGTTAATGTGCATGCAACTTTGTTTTTTCAACAAAATCCAGAACTACTCAGTTATTTGACGGATTTCATTGAGACTTGGTAAAATGGTGTAAGTAAACAAAGCCTATAATTTGACACATAAGGCGTTTCCAAAACTATTACCATGGCAACACAATCCTGGCCTCTGATTGGTAAAAAAATAGATACTGTCCGATTTTGACCGAATTCGGTATATAGGGGATGCCGAACATCACTGTATACCATGCTGACGTAAATGGTGGCATCTGATTGGTCGAAAATTAGATATCAGCTGATTTTGACCAAATTTGGTACAGCGTTCAGCTCATTGGGACTGAAACTAAAACAATTGATGTTATAAACTCTGTATACCCTTGCAACGAACCTGGACTTAGGTTGTCTGTCCGTCTGTTTGTCTGTAGACATATCTTGTCCGGAAAACTATTCCTAAACTTGTGAACCATTTTTTATAAAAATGCATAGGAATATTAAGGACCATATGTAGATGTGCATGCAACTTTACATCTGTCCATTGGTCCGTCTGTCTGTCCGTTTGTTTGCCTGTCTGTAGACATATCTTGTCCGGACAACTCCTCCCAAACTTGTGATCCGATTTTGTTGAAACGTCATTGCAATATTAAGGACCATATGCAGATGTAGATGTGCATGCAATTTAAAAAAAAATGGTTGCTTTGGTAACCAGTCACTACAAACAGGTGTTCCTGTAAAGGTCAATGGACAACAGGTATCCCATCCATGCTAATATTGGGAAATGGGGGCATTTAGTTAGCCTTAGGATAACAGTTCTAGTTTTGTTTGTTTTCGGATATAAGGAATCGATAATTAAATAACATTTCTAAACACAACTCAAAATGTCGATCAGTTCCTATATTTCGTAGATAAAATTATTTTCTCAACCAAAGGAACTTTCAGAGATACGTGTTTTATTGTATCGATGGAGGAGGAAAAGTGTGTATGTCAAACAGTTCTTGACAGATATGCACAAAGTGCCTTTAATCATTAATCCATTTTGTTTACTTTCAAATTTGTGCAATCAGTTCCTCGTAGCAATGAGGAAATGTTTTCTTGGCGTGTTTTAATATGTAATGTAGAAATCCTTAACTGTACAGCCGTACGTTTAAGCAGCAGCTGTCGATGAATTTCTAGCTAACTAAAATGTCTTCCCAGTCGAGGGGAGACAGAAGCCTATGTTTTTTTCGCCTAGCATATCTGAATACAAGTACATGCGTAAACATACGTTTTGTATCAGAATCATCTCCAAACATCATCTAAAACATCGTTATAAATGAGTGATCTATTTTACATTTAAACGTATTGATATCACACTTTCTGCGGTTTGAAATTCTCCCTGTGACACCCTCTCAGTGCGTGCATGCTCTAGCCTAATTGAACCTGTTCGTTCTTATTCAAATCCAAACTGAACATTAATATCTCATTAAAGGTATATATTATGATATTTTAAACTCTTACTAGCGATGTATTGTGTACATTCTAAAATGAGTTATGTGTGAACTCCGACTCATAACTGACACTGTGTTGTCGGTCGATAGCACTGAAAGGCCCGGATATAGCGCTATTTCGGTCGTAGATATTTTTATCACCGGCTTTCTCAAAATATGAAAATGAACACCATGAACGTTGGCTTCAGGTCATGTCATTATCAACTACGTAAACTTTCGTTAGGAGCTATATGTTTTTTTCAGTATCGACTTGATTTTCAGGTTATCACAAAATTAACTTTACTAAATGGTCCCTTTAAGTGTGAGTCCCTTATATTAAGTTTTCTATAAGCATTTTTTAACTCCTTAAGTTGGATCACAAATTCAGTATTTTTGGAATGTGTATGACTGTAATAGGATGATTGTTTATTACTTTTATAAACATGTGATTCTTTATTATTATATTAACTCATGAATATTTTCACAAACGATATCTATCATTTTTACATTACTGAAGATGCATTATTGCAGCAAACAATGTACAGATAAGCACAACATCACTCGTATTTCCTAATCAAATGTTGAGAAACTTTAAATAATTCCAATCAAATTATATCTATCTTATAAGATATTAAAATTAATTATTGCATTCAATACTTTACTGTATCTCCTTTCATTTCTAGCATCTGGTGATTCTGAACGTCCTGTTATGGGTAAGTTATCACGTTGTTGCCTTCACGGAAACTACAAGATTATGATTCTATTTTGATTTGTCGAACGGATGTTAAGCTGAAAGGATAATGCAGGAAAATGATAAATTACCTTTTTTGTGTCTCTTTATAGTATTTCAATTTCTACGATATCATAAAGCAGCCAAATATTACAGGAAAAGGTAGGATTGCGCGTTAAAATCCCTTTTTCTTCCGTAGGGATGAAGGAATTCGAAGAAACAAATCTGATCTAGAACATCGGTTAAAAATAGGGACTCGATTATGTATGGATGAAGGATGTGACCAATTTCTTGGCAAAATAACTGGGTCCAATACGGAATATAGGGGTCCATAATACATTTAATGTATTGTATTTTAGGATAACATTTGTCAGTGTTCTTTAATATCCAGGTAGGTAATTTAGTGAATGTTTTGATTATATATTTTGATTTTTTACCGAAAATACAACTTCATTTCTTTATGATAGAAAACCAATGATCAAAAGGACACTTTAGTTAAGTACAAATATTTTATAACAAAACTCTCCATGATTGTAACGTTTGATAATCCCTATGAACAAGTTGACAAGAGACAGTGTTTTCTTGGCGTTTTTGATCGGTAATGGAGAAATCCTTAACTGTACAGCCGTACGTTTGAGAAGCAGGTGTCGGTGAATTTCTAGCTAACTAAAATGTATTCCCAGCCGAGGAGAGAAGGTAGCCTATGCTTTTTTCGCATGGCCTATCTAAAAAACAAATACTTGCGTATGCATCTATTTTGTATCAAAATAATCTCCAAACATCATCTAAAACATCGTTATAAATGACAATAAGTACTATCGACTTATACCGTATTCCTATCGTAATAGGTACAACACCACTCGTATTTCCAAATTAAATGTTGAGAAACTTCAAATATTTCCAATCAAATTTTATCTGTCTTACTTCCGACCTTCTGCAGTGAGTTCCTTGAAACTATTAAAATGAACTATTGCATCAAATACTTTACTGTATCTTATTTCATTTCCAGCATCTGGTGAATCCGAACGTGCTGTTATGGGTAAGTTAATACTTCGGAAACTACACGATTCTTTATATGATTTTTGTTTGGATTTGTCAACCGGATGTTGAGCTTCAATTTCGAAGAGAGGATAATGCAGGTAATGATACATATCCTTTTCTTATCTGACTCCATTCAAGGTCACATGAGTCAGATATGTCTAACGCTTAGAACAACTTCTTCTGGAGAACTGGGAGGTATAGAACCTTTATATGTGGCTGGTTATTTCCTGGGAAAGAGCCAAACAAAGTTTGCTTATGAAAATGACCTTGACTAACTTTCAAGGTCACAGTGTTCAAATATGTCAAACGGTTCAAACTACTTCTGATGAAGAATTAAAAGGCATAAATTTAAAATATTTGGCTGGTAACTTCCTGGGATAGAGCTCACCAAAGTTTGCGAATGAAAATGACCTGAACCTATTTTAGAGGTCACAGAGGTCAACAACATTTTAAAGGATTTGTTCTTAAGAACTAAAATAAATGGATTCACATTAGATTTGGCTGATAGCTTTTTGGAATAGAGCTGACGAAATTCAAAAGGAAAATGACATTGACCTTCTTACAAGGTCACAGGAAAAAACATGTCAAGCAACTTCTGAAGAAGAATAAAAAAAACATAGAATCTAATAATAATATTTTGTTAGTAGTTTCAACAGATGGAGCCAACAAAGTTTGCGAGGGAAATATTTTTAGTGCAATATAGTATTTAATGATAATATTTTGCTATGACTGCTTAACTATTCAGGTAAGCGATACAGGCCCTCTTGGGCCTCTTGTTATGTTGACTAATGGATATTTGCACATACTGTATGTATTATTTTGGCATTACTGAAGACGCATTATTTCAGCAATGTACAAATAACTAATATCGACGTTTAACGTATTCATATCGTTATAGGTACAACAACACTCGTATTTCCTAATTAATTAATCAAAAACTTAACATTATTTCCATCAAATTATATCTGTCTTATTTCCGACCTTCATATTGAGTTCCGTGAAAATATTAAATTTAACTATTGCATGCAATACTTTACTATATTTTATTTCATTTCCAGCATCAGATGATTGGGCACAACCTGATATGTGTAAGTAAACACTTCGGCACCTTCACGGAAACTACAAGATTTTGTATAAAACACTAATCTTGATTTGTCAACCGGATGTTGAGTTTCCATTTCTAAGTAAGGATAATGAAGGAAAATGGTACATTTCCTTTTGTGTGGATCTTGCATTGCTTTCACCTTTTAAGCATAGCCATGTTTATAATTGCGTAAAAAAGCTTATACGTTTATTAGTGTAATCAAACATGTCAGTGCAATTCTATATTATGGTTTTTACGGTTTAATATTAACAAAACTGCTGAAACATTGTGAAATTATTAACAAGTCACATACGTAATTTTTTAATAATACTTTTTTTCTGTATTGATATTTGTTGCATCCGCTTGTCATTAAGCTTATAATAAATATACTAATGATTTTTTAGTCTTTAAATGGAATGATTATATTTACATTAGACATATTTCTAATACAGTATTTATCAAAGTAGCATTACGAAACTGCTACTTCCTTATTATTTTTTTTATTTTTGGATATAGAGAATCGATGAATATTAACATTTCTTAACACAACTGAAACTATCAAACAGTTCCTATATTCCGTAGATAAAATTATTTTCTCAAACAAAAACCTTTTTATTTCCGTTTTGATGAAGGAGTTTAAAACAAATCTGATCAAGAACATACTTTGGAAAAGGGGACTCAATTATGTATGAATGAAGGGTGTTACCAAAACCCTGGCAACATAACAGGGCAAAGTACAGGAGATAGGCGTCAATAATACATTTAAAGTATGGTATTTAAGGATAATATTTTGCAGCAATGTACAAAAAAACTAATATCGACGTGTAACGTATTCCTAACATTATAGGTACAACAACACTCGTATAATAAAAAAACTTAGCATAATTTCCATCATATTATGTCTGTATTAATTCCGACCTTCATATTGAGTTCCGTGAAAATATTAAATTAAACTATTGCATTCAATACTTTGTTATATTTCCTTTCATTTCCAGCATCAGTTGATTGGGAACATCCTGATAAGGGTAAGTAAACACTTCGGTACCTTCACGAAAGGTACAAGATTTTGTATATGATACTTATTTTTATTTGCCAATCGGATGTTGAGTTTCCATTTCTAAGTAATGATAATGAAGGAAAATGATACATTTCCTTTTGTGTGTATCTTGCATTGGTTTCACCTTTTAAACATAATCATGTTGATAATTGCGTAAAAAATATATAAGTTTCTTAGTGCGATTCTATATTATTTTTTTACGGTTTAATATTAAAAAACTGCTCAAACCTTGTGCAATTATGAACAAGTCTCATACGTAATTTCTTAATAATACGTTTTCGGTATTGCTCTTTGTTGCATCTGCTTGTCATTAAGCTTATAATAAATATATTAACGAAATTTTAATCTTTAAATGGAATTACTATATGTACATAAAACATGTTTCTTATACAGTATTTTATTAAAGTAGCATTACGAAAGTTTTACTTTTTAAATATGTTTCTTCATTTTTGGAAAAAGAGAATCGATGACTATGATTTCTAATAAAAGCTCACCATGTCGAACAGTTCCTATATTCCATAGAAAAAGATTTTCTCAACAAAAGGAGCTTTCAAAGATATATGTTTTATTGTATCTAGTTCACACAACCATACATTATACAAAAACTTAAGTGTTTATGTCAAACAGTTATTGACAGTTCCTCATAGCAAAGACGTTAAAGGAATCTTTGCATTTGTTGCACAATGTTTAACAGTGTTTAAATTAAGATTTATTTGGAAACCATATCTGAAGTTTCATTCAGTTTTCTTTTCTCTTTTCTTTGCTGCAGGTTATCACGTTAGTATACATTTCGATATTTTTATTGAAAATACAAACGAAATTTTATCATTATCAAAAATATTATGAGGGTGAAATCCCCATACAAGACGTTAAACAAAATAAAACCAAACCAAACCACATTCGACCTTCTGCAGTGAGTTTCTTGAAGATAAAACATTAAAATAAACTATTGCATTCAAAACTGTACTCTTTTTCCTTTCATTTCCAGCATCATTGCATGTGATACATGCTACACTGTGTAAGTAAACACTTCACTGCCTTCACGGAAACTACAAAGATTTGTTTTTGTAACACTTGTCAACATTTGTCAACAGTATGTTAAGTTTCCATTTCTAAGTAAGGATACTAAAGGTTAATAGTACATGTCCTTGTATGTGTATCTTGCATTGCTTTCACATGTTAAACATAATTATGTTGATAATTGCGTAACAATTCTGTGTTTTGTTAGTTTAAAGGTACATGTTAATGCGATTATTAGCTCACCTGCCTTAAGGGCAAGTGAGCTGATGTCATGGCGCAGCGTCCGTCGTCCGTCTAAAAAGCTCAGGGGGAAAAATTGAAAATAAATTTGAAAACTTTCCTTGGGTCAAGGGCACTCCATTTTGTTTAAACGGTGGATGTGGCCCTAATAGGGGTAATTGAGGTAAAATGTTTCAAATCATTCTACCGTAGGGATTAAGGGATTGTATCCTAATTAAGACTGGAGCATCCTTTGGCCAAAGGGATTCAATTTTGTATAAATGGTGAGTGTGGCCCTCCTGGGGGCAGCTGGGCGGACCCATTATGGGTATATAGGTAAAACCTTTAAACCTTTAAAATCCTTCTTCTAACGTTGGGATTAAGGAATTTTATCATTATTTGGTCTGGAACATCCTTTTATAAATAGTGGGCTGGCCCCATGGGCAGAGGGGCGGGGCTAAATAGGGGATTTAGAGGTAAAATCCTTCTTCTACCATAGGGATAAAGGGATTTTAACCCAAATTGGCCTGGATCATCCTTGGACCAAGTGGACTCAATTTTGTAGAAATGATGGGTGTGGCCCTCCTAGGGACTCAGTTTTGTATATATGTTGGGTTTGTAAGGAGAGTTGTGGGGCCAAATAAGGAGAATAGAGGTAAAAACCTATGAAATCCTTCTTCTTCCATAAGAATTAAGGGATTTTATTCCAAATTAGCCTGGAACATGGACACTAAATTTTATATAAACGAAGGGTGAGAATGTGTACACGAGGTGTGCACGATGTGCAAGCAATACACATATGGACGATTATTGCTTGTGCACATTTGTTTTAAAAACAATCTCTAGATATTGGCTATGGGGAAGTTACTAGTTATTTGACACACACTATGTTAGTATTTGGTCTGTAAATAAGAGATCACGAGTGTTGCGATTAGGGCAGTAGATCAAATTTGATTTCTTCAATGTTCCCAAAAGACACGTTTGGTATTCCAGCAATTTTTATTTTTTTATTTTTTTATTTTTTGGTAATTAACACGCATTGTACCTATATTATGATTATATAGATTTATTTCATTTGAGCAAGAGTGAAACATATGTTGCTGTGCTTGACGTTTTTATAATACCTCAAAAACTAACAATTAATTGTATTGTATTGTATATATTCATATTGAAAGTTTCGCTTATGCATAGAGTATTTCATACTTCAGATTTGTGCCATAAACTAGTTAATATATATGAAAGTGTATTTCACCCTCTGCTCGTATTTTAATTTCATGTTCTTTGGCAGCTGAAGGTAATTGAAAAAAAAAATTACTGTGACTGTTTTACTTCCATGTCCATTTATGACAGTTATATATTACAATTGTGTGTGTGTTGTTACCTCTTTTTAGAAAATGTATTATTTCTGACATGTGTATATGTAAAGAAAAGATTTTGTAAATACTTTTTAATAATTTGTAGATTATCAATACATATATAACAACAGGATAATCCTTTATCGTTTTGTTAACTAATGTATATTTGCACATGACCAATTTACGATTTAGTCATTACTGAAAACGCGTTATTTTAGCGATGTACAAATAATCAATATCTATGCGTAAAATCGATGACGCAGACAAGTTTTTCTTACTGTGTTTGCCACTTTCAAGATTGTAATTATTACCGTATTATGACTAGATGGGTCATTATCAGTTTTCTAATTTTGTATATTTGTCTCATTCTCTTCCACTTCCACTTTCCAAGTCGATTTTTTTTACAAACAAAAAAATAAAACTAATTATAATTATTTGTTCGTATTAATCAAAAACAAGTCTATGAATGTTAAGTACTAAATAAATGTAGGTGCAAAATCTGTAATGTTTTTCCTTACTGTACACACAATAACGTTTGCATCATAGCCATGAATATTTGTTAACTGGTTATGACTCACTTCAGGGTTTTTGCAATAGGTCTAATACAGTATTCAATTGTATAAGCATCGTTTTGGGATACCATTTCATTTCTATTGCTAAAGATATATTTATAATCTAGGAGTGACTCAAATACTAAAACATCATATGTAAGATAACTATGGAAAATTGATCATTCATACTTACCCCTTCATCGTATATGACAGTGTATTGAAAAATAAAGGACTCCTTCATGCACAAAGGTGTAGGGTAGGGAAATCCCGCCCGAGGGGTTTTCAAATTTGGTAAAACTCTTTCCAGTGTGGGTCGGAGGTGGTATATTTTGACCCGGTGAACACATCGAAATACAAGCTTTTGCGGGTTAAAGCATCCTCGATACTCCAGGGGTTACGTTCACTTCCGTTCTCTGAACCCCTGGAATATGTCAAAGCAAAATTGAAGGCACGCGGCTAGCAATTTGATCGGTTTCAGGTAGAAAAAAACCTGACCAATCGCTACGCCGATACCTGGGCATTTGAAGATTACAAATTTCAAGTTTAATGGTTTCCTAAGATACATTACGATGTACAATATGGACATCTACAAGGTGACGCACACTGATTCTTCGATGTTGTCATGACATATCCCAGGGGCACAGAGAGCGTTAGTGAGCCTAACCCCTGGACTATCGCAGATGGGGTAAAGTAGCTATTGTTGTATACGTTTTGACGGACAGTAGGTTGTACAATTACAAATTACAGTTGAAGGAGGAGAACATTTAGACATGTTAGCCTGTGTGGAAAATGTAACGAGCTAAATTAAATCTTGCATGTGATTTTTCAAATTGATTTATTGGAATGCGTGAACAGTGTGATAACTCTGAGGGTAACAACACCAATGTCAATGTATGACTAAATGGCAAATGACATCACGTCATTATACAATGTAGTATAATCCGAGCGCGCTTTCATTATCGGGCTTCAATAAAATGAAAAGAAATACGGATTATTTTAATATATGCATGTTACTTTATGTACTTACCTAATATGTGCTTTTTAACTTACATATCATTGCTGATATTAAGGAAGCAGATGGTACTTATACTGGTAGCGTTATGTTATCACATTTTCTTTCACTTCTTAACCGTTATGTTCACGTTCAACTCGATCATTGTCAAAATTGGTTACACTTGTTATATACAACTCGTGACCATATGAATGTTAAATAAATAGGCTTTACATATGTCTATTTTCATTCCGATAGCTCTGAACACACGTGTTTTACAAAACCGACCGTGTTCCACAAACGTCAAACCTGAAACGAAATGGCGTTAAAAGTATGTTACACTGTTGTGCGTCAACATCTGACGTTACGTCGTTATAATTGGACCATTTGGCAATTTGCCTATCCTACACCCTTGGACATAAAATAGTATTTCTCTCTCATTCCAATCACCAGAATAAGTTCTGAAACCATGAATATGTGTTTGAACTGGCAACTTTTTTGAAATTTTCACTCTGAGCTTTTTAGACGAAAACTATTTAGCCAGCTAGCTTAGAAATATCCTATATTTGCAAACAATGTTCGCGCAGAAAATCCGTGACGTCACGTCATTGTTGAGTCATTGTGATGTCACATCACGTGAAATGGGGTGTAAGATAGAAATGTCTTTCACCCCTTTCTTACACTGGATATCTCTATCTTACACACAGGGAAATGAGAGAAATGTCTTTTCATATCTATGTTAAACATACCTCACGAATTGAAAATATCATATTATTACGATTGCCTTCTTTTGGTACAGGTGGAGGCATAGGTAAGTTCAAAATTAATTCGATATTTCACCCATCACGAAAACGTCTTTATCCCAATCACTCAATCTTTCAAACGTTTATACCAAATTCTAAATGACGTTTGAAACGATACTTTTCTGATTTGGAGCTTACATTATATAAAAACCCAATGTCTTCGACAAGTTATAAAATGAAAACGGATGTTTACTTATTATAACACGTTTCACCATTTAGCTATCATGATGATGTCGCCGCTGATGCAACATCTCATCAGATAATTTCTGGTTGTTTGTGTCAAAAGTTAGCAGACTATGTTACTTATATCAATATCAATATATGTCAATATCAGCTGCAAATCAATTAATCAATCTTCCAAACGTTTATACCACATTCTAAATGTCACCATAATTGAGAGTATTCTGATATGGAGCTATCTTACATGTATATAGAGATCCTATGTTTTCTCTATAATAGGATTCAATATAAGATGCATATGGGATATACCGACTAAAACATTACAATAGGGTTTGGTCGTGTATTTCCACTGTCTTCCCTCTGATGCCATTTCATGATTACAATTATATCAATTGCACCTAACATGCTTGTTACAAAGGTATTTATTCCAAAGTTTGAATAAGAGTAACGGTATAACAACTTCCTTCTTAAGGATCTTTTGTTATGAAAAGTGGAAATTTTCTATTGACTTATGTTTTAACTATTACTAACTTTTTAGGAGAAAATGTGATAAAATGAACAAATCAAAGAAAATTGCCCAGGTGCTCGTTTTATACTTTGACCGGCCAAAGATAAAAAAGTTGAATAACATGTGATTAAGGTGGAATTTATGATTTTGAACGTATGCAAAACAAATTCAAACAATAAATTTTAAGTGTGTCGACAGAAATATATAAATGCGTGTGGAATTGAAAAATGGGTTGTACGTCATATCAACTTTTAAGAACGTACCTCAATGTATGATGTGCAACCTTTCAGGTCGGGGATCGAAAAAGAAAACACTTGCTGTTACCCACTGCCTGTATCGTAAGAAGCATCTAATGTCTCGACCATTCTGATGTGCTTCTGCCTATCGCGCAAATCACTCAGAATCATCGAAACGCAGAAGCTTTGTGATTACAGCAAGATAGCAATAAGCATTGGCAGCGATTGAACATAATCCAAACTATTGGCACACCGGAATAATCGACTTTTTTAATCGATTTTCAATTTTTTCTCTTCTGACATTTTTGATTTCATGACTTTGGATGAAAATTATGAGTCAATTGATAGTGTTTCTCTGATAATACTACAATAGTACTATATTTCTTACACTTTGAACCATTTTTCTGACCTTCTTTATCAGTCTTCTTGTTTTCATTCTGGTTGGACTAGGGTACTGTATCAATAAAACTGTGCTTTACATTCATATTATATTTACGATTCCTACGAATACATGATATATTCAATATGGAATGTTACTAATTTAGTAATTATGATGAAATACTTAAATGTTTTATAAATAATAGTTTGTTTTTGTCAATTAAAACTATAGTTAAAGTTCCGTCCTGGGAAAAAGACATCAATAACCTTCCAGGTAGGTAAAATTTAATTTCGATATATTTTTGTATTTATAAATCATTCTTGTACAGACCCGTACACGTTCGCTGTTCCACTTTCAGCGTACCGTTTGCGTAGCATTTCCGTACCCTTTGCGTAGCACTTGCGTATCACTTGCGTAGCATTTCCGTAGTACTTCCGTACCATTACCATAGCATTTCCGTAGCACTTGCGTATCGTTTCCGTAGCACTTGCGTCTACATCTTTCCATTTAAAAAGCGTTTGTGAAACGTTCGGTCGAAAATTTTACGGAATATATATTTGTCGAAACGAATTGTAAAAAAAAATCATTATAAACCGCATTACGTGAAAAGTATTCCAACTATCATAATAGTCTGAAGGGAAAAAACCCACAAAAATGACGGTTTACACATACATGGACGTAACAGCCCTCCTCCCATGGGCCTACTGTGTGTTCCCCACACCAGCAGCTAGGCCTTAGGGGTAATTTAAATAACAGGCATACAGCTGGCCATGTGGTAATGACCTGTCCCTTGTTTAAGGTATACACAACTTCAGTGTCTGTTATAAAGGTTGTTAGGGCAACATGACCACCCGCTGACAGATACGTTTCTTTCAATATGATATCTATATACCTGATAATATAGGCAGTGATAATGCATTGACCATTCACCTGTGGTTACATTGGATTCTGATGTGCTGTACCTGATCAAGGTCACATTCTGTGATTTCAAGGCAATTAAGTCCATGTCAATTAATCCAGTTCATTGTCTATCCATCACGTACAGCTGTATACAGGTAAATCAGTTAAAGGTACAAACCTACAGGTAAGATACTTTGGCTGTCCCTCGATCAGGAAATGACAGCCCCAGGCACAATTTTATTTCACAACAGTGCCTTAACCAAGGTAAACTAATATTTAACTTGGAATTCCTAATTTAATTTAAAAAAAAGTTTCTTATTACGATATTTAACTTCTCACGTAGATGATTTCCTTGTTGTCTTTAGCAGAGACGTATATATTACAATACGTCTCTGTCTATAGTAAGTTTGTTAACGGAGTGCCCTCTCTGTGTGTGGTAATTATAAAGGTGTCAAAATCAGTCAAGCGGTTCCGGGCTAGTGTACCTATGAACTTACATGTACATGGTTCAATGAAAAAGATAATTGACCTTTTACAGCTGACCAATTAGTACCACTTAGCGCCGTTAGCAAGTTACACAGTGGACAGTATATAGCAGAGGCTGGGATTAACCTGGCCTAGGGTATATTTGGAAATATTATATTAACGACAACAAGATTTATTAATTAATGAAAGAAAGGTTTATTGATATTTTTAGAGAAGAATGTGCAGAAAAAAATAAAATATTCTCAAAAGCAATTTTTTATAGATACAATGTATATTTACGATCATTTTGATCTACCAAACTTACTGCGTAAACCCATACAAAAAAAATATCTGAAAGAAATACAAAAAAAAAAAATTCTCCTCATAACTTAAAGTTAGAAAAAGGGCGATATCAAATCATTGAATTGTCGAGTGTGTGATGTTTGTAATTTAGATGATGTTGAAGATCATGTCATTCTGATTTGCGAGCAATTGTTTTGAAAACTTATTATATTAAAAAGCCAAGCATATTTAAATTGAAAGGATTATTGAGTGCGAAAAATACAAAAGAAATAACGAACTTAGGGAAATATATATAATTTGCAAATTCGAGAGGAACCTAATTATTATAAATAGGTATAGTTGCACTTGTAATTGTGTTGTGAGTGTGTGTAACGTTGTGTAATGTTATTTTGTATTTTGCACAGTTAATATCACAAATTTTGTTATTTTGTAACTGGTGAGTCGCACGACTCAAAGTAATAAAGAACTTGAACTTGAACTTGAGGGTACGTACATGTATGACAAAATATGAAATATTGTAGCACTTACACTTACATGTATTGAGCACAGACAAACAAAATGTTATGTAGTTTTGCCACTCATCTATTGTGGTGTTGTCTATAAAAAAGTCTGACAACGGTCAGAGACGTATACTTTAAAGCAAACATTTTCACTTGATTTTGTGTGCTGTATCATTCCCCATCACCAGTTTCACGAAAAATTATTTAATTATTGAGACTCGTTAACTTGAAATTTCAGGAAAATGTCATCATCTTCCCTCAACGCCATAACGTTTTCATGTGGAACTAGAGACAAGAGATTGTGAGCATCCTCACATAGATATGCATGTATACCCCCCCCCCAAGTGAAATATGTTAAATCTATTAAATAACCCCACCCACCCCCCTACCCACACCCTTTTACTTTGCTCTACTCTACCAATGACTAATTGCCCCTGGACCCTGATCAGGAAGCTATCGCCCTAAGCCCACACCCTCCTTGATCCACGCCTGTTTAGGTACAAACGTACATGTACACACGGAGAAATACATATTGTAGATATAGTGAAGGTTGACTTGGTCTCAGTCCCTACGTTATCTGACATCAGACCCCTATACCCTCTGTAGTACACACCCCTCAGGGTGTGCCAGACAGTCATAGTTTCTCCTGTACCAGGATTCAGACATGTAAGATTTACCTGTATAAGAGTCAGTATAGATACCTACATTTTTATGATCGATAAAGAAAACCTATATTCTTATTAATACTAGAGGTACATATCATGAATGTAAAAAATATATATATTTAGTACATATTATTTTTCTTATTCATAATAGTTTCCTACATGCACGAGCTTGCCTTTCAAACTGAAAATATATATATAATAACTCCCGTAATAATATACACGTACAATGTATACTTAAACAAGAATCAACTACATTTTCATAATAAAATAAAAGATGTATAACAAAAAAAACTGTTTATCTGGGAATGAAATTTAATTAATAGACATGGTATAACATGTATACATTTCAAATCTCCGATGCATGTATTTGCATGTACTAATAATTAAGCACATTATCGGTCTCCAAATCCTACGAAAAATCTAAAAGTGTATGGAAGTATTAAAGACGATATAAAAAATAGAAATAGAGGTACTGGATCCTTAACACAGGAGTCTGAATTTATATATTTTTTAGCTCACCGGGTCCAAAGGACCAAGGTGAGCTTATGCCATACCGTGGCGTCCGTCGTCCGTCGTCCGTCGTCCGTCGTCCGTCCGTCGTCCGTCGTCCGTCCGTCAACAATTTCTTTAAACGACTTCTTCTTAACCACTTATTGGATTTTAACTAAATTTGACTGGAAGCACCCCTAGGTAGTGGGGATTCAAAATTGTACAAATGATGGGGCTGACCCCCCAGGGGGCTGAGGGGCGGGGCAATAAGGGGGCAATTTGGCTATATTGCTTTAAGCGACATCTTCTCTGGAACGAAGAGATGGATATCAACCATATTTAACTGGAAGCATCCCTAGGTGGTGTGGATTCAAAATTGTACAAATGGTTGGGCTGACCCCCAGGGGGCTGAGGGGCGGGGCCAAAAAGGGGCATTTTGACTATATTGCTACAAACGACTTCTTTTGTAGAACTATGCACTGGATATCAATCATATTTAATCAAAAGCATTCATGGGAGGCAGGGATTCAAAATTTTACAAATGGTGGGGCTGATCCCCGTGGGGGCTGAGGGGCGGGGCCAAAAAGGGTTATTTAGCTATATTGCTGTAAGCGACTTCTTCTTTGGAACTAAGAGATAGATATCAACCATGTTTGACTGGAAGCATCCCTAGGTGGTGGGGATTCAAAATTGTACAAATGGTGGGGCTGACCCCCAGGGGGCTGAGGGCTGGGCCAAAAGGGGGCAATTTGGCTATATTGCTTTAAACGACTTCTTCTGTAAAACTATACCATGGATATTGATCATATTTGGTCGGAAGCATTCATGGGAGGCAGGGATTCAAAATTATACAAATGGTGGGGGGATTTTTTTTTTGACTTGGAAATGGTTGAGATCTCCACCATATAACCATATATACAATTGTTGAGTATAACGAGAGGAATGCACATTTGCTTCCAGGATGGCCCTAGGGTCTGGCCCCACCCTTGGAGACTTAACCCCTGGGTCATAACTTTGAAACGGTTAAGATCCCCACCCCAAAACTATATATACAATTGTTGGGCAAAAAGAGACACATGCAGTCATGATATTAGAATTGATCCAGGGGTCTGGCCACAACCCTAGGGACCTAGTTTCTGAGTCACAGCTTGGAATCAGTTGAGATTCCCACCCCATAACCTTACATAAAATTGCTGGGCATAAAAAATCAAATACAGATATGCTACAAGGATTGGCCTTGAGGTCTGGCATATTCTGTTGGATCTCATTTGGAGAATATTTTGCCATGGTTGCTTAGATATCCAGGTGAGCGATACAGGCCCTCTGGGCCTCTTGTTTATTATTATTATGCTTATTAATTATTACGTTTCTCGTTAAAAAACCTGTAACAAGTTTACTTACTGTCAATATTAATTAGTATTTTATTCGGTAAGCAGGTGGAAATACTTCTGACCATAACTTATTATTATCTTTGTGTCGCGTTGATCTGTTAGCGTACGTCAGGTCTTTGTGATGGATATATTACATGTACCAATATTTGATCGACCTTTATCTTTATAAATCACGAGACATTTCTGTTTGTTTCACACTCATCCATTATGCAAACGAAATGGCAAAATTTAAATCATTCTTATGTGCCTCGATCCTCGTAGCCTACAGTGTACTGACGTTTCTTCCTATGCATTGTGGGTATGTTCGTTTCGTTTTAGAAATTTGTTATGCTTCCGCTTTTTATGTAAACCCGTTCTTGTCACCACAAACGAATCACCGTTTGTAAGCGTCATCCGTAGCAATTCCGTACCGTTTGCGTAACACTTCCGTACCGTTTGCGTAGCACTTGCGTCCCATTTCCGTACCGTTTGCGTAGCACTTGCGTACCATTTCCGTACCATTTGCGTAGCATTTCCGTACCGTTTGCGTAGCACATATTTTGATATTTTTTACGAGTGCGCAGAGCGAGCGTGTACGTGTCTGTATATTATGGATACGTAACAAAGAGTGGAAATCCAAATTCCTTTATAAATGACATATATTGGTGAATACTGTATACCGGGAAACTTTCGCCCAGTTAAACTTACGCCCTACACTGGTAAATCCTTATTCGCCCAGTGTTAATTTCGCTTTCGCATTTGATTGCTAAATTAATTATGTTATTTACTTATATTGGCTGTAATGATAATTCATTACCGTGGGCTATAAGAAAAGTTAAACTGCGGCGAACATTTCTCGGTATATATTAAATCTTATAATCGATTAAATGTGTTCGATAAAATATTGTTGTTGATCTGATGCCGATCTGTTAGTACTACCTCAATGAAATACCATACAAAAAGCACCCAGAACGATACTGTAGTAGTACGAGAAATAGTGATACAGATAATGCCGTCGCTGTGGGCTCGAACCCGCGACCCTTCCGATGCTCTACCACTGAGCTAAGGGGAGATTCCCTACAGCTGACAGACCCGAAACGACGCCGAAACCCTTTCAAAGCACCGGTTTCCATATGCCACTTTGCGAGAGTTTGGAAGACACAACACGGATTGTGTCTCCGACCACAGTGATCATCCAGTGTAATATATTTGTATACAATAATGTTATACTTCGATCTGTTTAGTATTGTAACCAGTGCAATACAGATAACACTGGTTGATGTTTTCTTTTTTCAAACCCGTAAGCGCCGCATGAGTTTGATATATAAACACTTTGTCCACTTCCGATGCTTCCCGAAGTGTGAAAGCCTTCTAGGGAAATTACGACCGCATACTATCTACAAAAATATGATAGGAAACCCTTTTATCATTAATTTTCCGTTTGTTAAAATATTTCATCTTCACTGCGGTCAAGATTTACGAATGTTATATTTTCACAAGTGAAGATGCAACTCTGAAAATTGTTCAATCACAACGGTACTTTCTTTTCACTGCAATTATTTTTAGTTTCAAGTACAGATGAGGCGACGGCAAAATAAGTGGATGTATGGTAGTTTTTGTTTGGTAACATTAACAGATAATAGCAGCAAACAACAAAATTGCGTTGAGATCCTCATTCAAAATGGCGCTCTGTAATTTTCAAGCGTTACGTGTTTAAAAGTCCATTTACTTTTTATTATTGTTAAAAAAAGATCAATTTATTGGTTTTTGCGTTGAACCCCACATATAGAGGATATTTAATGATGTCTTCAGTAATAACAAATATATTTCACGAGTGTGGCTAATATTTTGATATTTTTTACGAGTGCGCAGCACGAGTGAAAAATATCAAAATATTAGCGACACGATTAGCGATACGATAATTTGTTATTACTGAAGACACCATTTAATTTTCTATTTATTACATTTTCAAAGCATACAACATGAAAAATCTAATGCATTAAAAAAGGGCGGGAATCAGAAGCGTAATTATTAGCGCCATATTATAATGACGTCACGCTTGACAACAAGGCTGCGCGCCATTTTGAGTGGCATTCCCAACGCAATTTCGACGTTTTCTGCTATTTTCTGGTATGATTGCTTATAAAAATGTCATTACTGGTATATATATGTAAATACTTCAGTCTGTGTACAAACATTTACCATAACAACCACTTATTCTACCGTCGCTTCATGTGGATCTGTGACAAAAGATCGTTGCCTTTGAATGCAGCGAATAGAAGATACCGTTATGATTGGTCAATACTAAAAGGTGATATTTTCACACTGTGAAAATATCACTTTTGATATTTGTCACAGTGTGAATGATATCTATTTATCAAGTTGATAGAATCCGATATTTCACTGGCAAAAATGTAATACACATATTTAACCCGTTTAAAACGTATATGTTATAACAACCAAAAAACTAGCGTTATGGTCAAGTGTTTCTTCGTAGAAGACTCGAGAGACAACCACTTCTCATGATTGACAAGTAACCTCAAGCAGATATAAACATTTTATTCAATTAAAGTGTATATAAACGTGTATCATCAAATGAACTATTTGTTAAAATCGCGACAGGTATATATTATGTTTTCTGTAATTAATGTACTGTATCATCCCTCTCAGAAGATGACCTTATTTCCAAATGGTTGATATTTAAACATGCAGTAAAAATGGACATTTTCTGGTCTTAGGGAAAATATTGAATGGCAATAGTGCAACATATGTGGATAATGAGAGTAAAAATAATTTTCTGAACGATGAAAGTAATGCCATTAATATTCAAAGAATACATTGAAAATTGCAGGATCCGCTCCAGGGTGTTTTTTGGACTGTCAGCAAGTGATTTTCATCAAAAGATCTGATGTCCAGCAGCTTTTCTGCATTTGTTTTGTTGGTGTATGGGCAGCAGTGTTATTGGCCCTTTGCAAACGACTAGTTGGTCTTTTTAGATATATCACAGAGTAGGGCATAATAATCAAACTGAGATGTAACAAGTTAATGCACCAACGTCTCGCTATGTCATAATGCAGCGCCCTCTCAGTAGAGTTTCTCGTTCGATAGACTAGTTGCAGGTTGTCATGAAGACTTGGTATGGAGATGAACCTCTAAAAGCCTGGACACAATCTTCTCCAAGATCCTACCTAGACAGAAAAGGTAGATTTTATAATGGGCGGTACTTATTAAACTCCTCCATATCCGTTCCATTTGTATACAGCAGTTGTACTTTGACTTTGATGTTAAACGTCCGCCCAGATGTCCCGTGACAGAACATACCAAAGTCCTTAAATATGTAGTTTAATTCCCTGCTTAACATTGAGCATTAAACGTAATGACAACAACTGATGAAAGCGTTGGTAGTATGATTTGACCAATCGGAATGCTGTTCTTGGTGCCTTTTGCATGGTATTTCAGAGATATAGCACTATCAGGTCGAAATCAAGGTTTTGTTTAGCTTTATTTTGTTTAACATCTTATCAACAGCTAATGTCATTCTTCAAGGACATGCATCCATGTGTTGTGTATGTATGAAGGAGGCAAGGTATGTCGGTGTAAATTCCACCTTGTGATAGTGACATCAGATCCGCGTTATAACAAGGAGGCAAATACACCACCATACCCTGTCTTCGACACTCATTCGCACATGCTCGCATACATAACACTAGGTCACAGTCAATAGTGAATGTATAATCCTGCGGTTTACTATGACCTTTTATTTTTCATTCCTTAGATGAACGCAGAACAGCTCGATGGCCTTTCCGTCGTGAGTTACATTTCTATTTGTGTCCTAAAGATATCATTATAGTTTGACCGCGAAGATAATACTCGTAAACAAGTAACTCGTAATTATAATGAAATAGTTGAGCATTCAATAAGTTATATCTTTCTTGATTTAACAATTCAATGTACAACAGTATTGCTTATGATATTGTATGACATCGAAGTGATCTTTTTATGAAAGTTATACATGTTTTACACATTACAAATACTATTGTAATATTGCATTGCCCTGCCTTAAATAGAGACAACATGACATGATGTTTCATCCATTAAACTTTCACTTTGGCTTTATTTGGTTCATTTTTGGAACTTTTAGTTTTGACTGAAACATATTGTAGGTATCGAATCCTTTCCTAAATATATCAATAAATTCTAACGTATAAGATTATACTCGTCAAGCAAAATTTAGTAATTATGATGGACTGCTTAAATATTGTAAAGATTATAGCTTTCTCGATTCAAATCTACACATTTTCCATTTTCCGTTCTGAAATAAAAGGCAGGAACCGAACAAGTAAGTAAACATTTTATTTCAATTTCTTAACCCAATACAAAAACGTGTTTTTTATTAAAATATATTTCTTGTATTTTAAGGTTACGTAACAAAAAGTGGTAATTTAAATTACTTTATCAATGATATATATTTCTTAGGTAAATACTGTATACCGGTAAACTTTCGCCAAACGCTGGTAGAATCCGTATTTGCAAAGTGTTTAATTCGACCTTCACATTTGGTTGCTAAATGTATTATGTTATTTACTAATGCTGACGGGTATGATAATTTCGCTTCATTACCGAGGCGAAAAGCGAAAGTTATATTACGGTGACAACTTCCCGGTATACAGTAAATCTTGTACTCGTCAAAATGTAATATCATAGTGAATTTTGTTCATCTTGGGACTTAGACATGTTTCACATATATTATGAACATTTAGTTTCTCATACGTAATTTCATCATATACTTTTTACTAATTGCAGATATATGTGAAAGGACTGTTTCAATAGTATACAATGCAATATCGGATTTGAAACTTATATACACTGAGTTCACTAATTTATAATTAGTTCAGTCTTGTATTTCATCTGTCATTCATTTTATTCTTTTTAAACGAATTATAATTATAATTATATTCCTGCACAGATCATACCTTTAACAAATGTAGTTTATTCACAAGTGTGTATCATAATAAGATACTAATCTGTCCTATTTGATATAAATCTTCCTAGGAAAGAGAGTTGGCTAATCGTTAGCATGTTTAGCATCATATTCACAGCTAAGTTCATTAAGTGGCGTGCTTCTATATTTGTTAATTTGTATAATAACGTTACATGTCTAGAGCGGTTTTCGCAAAAAAAAAATAGTGTTTCCACAATGGTAGGCATTGTGAAAGCTGGTGGGTCTTTTTAACAAAACGTGCAGAAACGATAGTCATTTACAATGTCACCAGGTTTTTGTATTTGTTCATACTCGAGTCAATTAAAATGGTATTATGCTATGAAAAACGTTAAGCATTTAGAATTAGCTGATTTACTTCAATTGAGAGCTGTGCTGGATTCCTTCGGCATTGAATTTCAGTGTTGTATCACTCTGAATTCGGTATTAGATCTGTGCTTTCGCTAGGAGACGAATACGCCAACACACAGCCTTAACCAAACAAGGACACAAACATCACACACATACATATACGTCCTTCACGTACCTTAGCTATTTATATGATGCTTTACTGAATAAATATGACTTGTTATTCAGTACATTTGCTGCGTTCTGCTGTATGTAAAGTTGAAATATTAATCTTGAAGAACGACCTGATAATTATCAATTTAATGTTTACCTTGTCTTCGAAAATTCCTTCCTAAAAAACTATAGATTTGACTGACAAAAATTAAAACATACTTCAAATTATTTACCAAAAATGTAATTAAACTTTTTTTTGTGAAAGATAATACTCGTAAACCAGAAGTAAGTTATCAAAGGGAAAAACTGTAATATTTAAAAATGATATATTTCTGAATTTAATGATTCAAATGTATAAACTCATCTGATAAGGTGATATTTTAGCATATACGTAAAACATACTAAATGCAAATATAGTACTATTGTGATATTTCATTTTCCTGCCTCAGATGTGTTATTCAGTACATTTGCTGCGTTCTGCTGTATGTAAAGTTGAAGTATTAATCTTGAATAACGACCTGATAATTATCAATTGAATGTTTACCTTGTCTTCAAAAATTCCTTCCTAAAAACCTATAGATTTGACTGACAAAAATTAAAACATACTTCAAATTATTTACCAAAAATGTTATTAAACTTTTTTTGTGAAAGATAATACTCGTAAACCAGAAGTAAGTTATCAAAGGGAAAAACTGTAATATTTGAAAATGATATATTTCTGAATTTAATGATTCAAATGTATAAACTCATCTGATAAGGTGATATTTTAGCATATAAGTAAAACATACTAAATGCAAATATAGTACTATTGTGATATTTCATTTTCCTGCCTCAGATGAAGCACCCATCAATATAATTGGTAAGCATACATTATATTTCAGTTTTCATTATCCGATACTTAAACACACTTTCCTTAAACACATTACTTCTGGTAAAGTAAGAGTGGTTAACACATACTTAAATTAAAATAATATAACATATGCTTTCCTAGTTAAATCAATGTTATATCAATATTCAACGTCTTCAACAAAATATAACACCAAAAAGACATTTACAAAACAGTTGATAGGTTTGTGATGTTTTATACATAAAGAGTAGTTCCATGTATGCCTTCTTATGGTTGTTGACAATTGACGGCAGACTGATTACTCGGTGAAGAGTCGAAATGACAAACAGGAAAACGCCCGGTATTAAATAGAGCATAGTTCCTTCCTTTGACAAGTCGCATATGTTTGTGCTTATTGTACACAGCTCTTAGAATCATCTAAACCAGCAATCCCATCTACTACAGCAAGGTTTCAATAATTATTGAACAAAATCTACATTATTTGCTCGCCAAAATATTTCACATCGTATACACTCTTTTCCGTGATCTTCAAATTCGTGTCTTCTGAAACTGTTGATTTAATTGACTTGGACTAAAATTTCTGATTAGTCAATTTAAAGCGTTTCTATGGTAGTCATGAAATATTGTTTTATATTTTTATTACACATTTAAAAATATTTGTTATTTGAATGATCCTAAACATCCTTAATTCGACGACATCTTACTGAACAAATTTCAAATGCTTTGTTTACTAAATTATTTGTTTAAGTATAAATTCTGCAGCGAGTTACTCACTGTTGTCATACTTACATTTGTTTCAATCCATGAACTGCAATTCAGTACAGTTTCTGCGTTCCACTGTATGTAAAGTTGAAATATATATCTTTGATAACGACCTGATAATTATCAATTGAATTTCAACCATGTCTCCACATTTTCCTGCCTAAGAAGATATAAATTTGACTGACAAAAAATAATACATACTTCAAATTATTAACACAATATATCATTACATTCGTATCGTAAAAGATGATACTTGTAAACCAGAAGTAAGTTATCATAGTGTAAAAAATTAAGATTTAAAAATGATATCTTTCTGAATATAATAATTCAAATGTATAAATTCATCTGATATTTTGATATTTTATTATATAAGTAAAACATACTTAATGCAAATTTAAAATTTAATGCCATTGTGATATTTCATTTTCCTGCCTTAGATGAACCACCCATCAACTTGACTGGTAAGTATACATTATATTTCATTTTCAATCATCCGATACTTAAACACACTTCCCTTAAACACATAATTTCTGGTAAAGTAAGAGTGGTTAACACATACTTAAATTAATATAATATAGCATATGCTTTCCTAGTTAAATCAATGTTATATCAATATTCAACGTCTTCAACAAAATATAACACCTAAAAGACATTTACAAAACAGTTGATAGGTTTGTGATGTTTTATACATAAAGAGTAGTTCCATGTTTACGTTCTTATGGTTGTTAAAAATTGACGGCAGACTGATTACTCGGTGAAGAGTCACAATGACAAACAGGAAAATGCCCGGATATAATAGAGCATATATTGCTTACGTCTGGTTCCTTCCTTTGACAAGTCGAAGGTGTTCGTGCTTATTGCTCACAACTCTTAGAATCATCTAAACCAGCAATCTCATCTACCACAGCAAGGTTTCAATAATTACTGAACAAAATCTACGTTATTTGCACGCCAAAATATTTCAAATCGTATACACTATTTTCCGTGATCTTCAAATTCGTGTCTTCTGAAATTGTTGATTTAATTGACCTGGACTAAAATTTCTGATTAGTCAATTTAAAGCGTTTCTATAGTAATCATTAATTATTGTTTTTTTTATCTTTATTACACATTTCAAAAATATTTGTTATTGAATAATCCTAAACATCCTTAATTCATCAACATCTTACTGAACAAATTTAAATTGCTTTGTTTACTAAAATATTTGTTTAAGTGTAAACTTCTGCAGCGAGTTTCTTACTGTTGTCATATTAACGTTTATTTCATTCCGTGACCTGTATTTCAGTACATTTCCTACGTTCCACTGTATGTAAAGTTTGAATATTTATCTTTGATAACGACCTGATAATTATCAATTGAATTTCAACCATGTCTTCACAAGTTCCTGCCTATGAAGCTATATATATGACTGGCTAAAATTACATACTTCAAATTATTAACCGAATATATCATTACATTCGTAATGTGAAAGAAAATACACGTAAACCAGAAGTGAGATATCAAAGTAAAAAACTTAAATATTTTATAAATGATAATTTTCTGAGTGTAATCATTAAAATGTATAAATTCGTCGTCAATGATATTCTATTACAGCTGGGTGATCCTGTATCAAATAAGTTATTCATATTTAATGCACATTTAATACCATTGTGATATATCATTTTCCTGCCTTAGATGCAGCAGCAGCAATCAACATAATATCTGGTAAGCAACTATTCTATTAAAATTCCTTTATCCAATAATAGAACACGTTTCTTCTGATCAATACTTCTGGTCAATACGAATGGCTTACACATATAAAGTTCTAAATAATTTAATTAATGATATCGTTCTTAGTAAAATCAATGTTATATCAAGATTCAACGTTTTCGACAAAGTATAACACCAGAATTAAAAAAATAAGGTATGTTTTATACACATAGAAAAGTTTCAATAAATACGTTCTACATACAATTATTACCATTGTTATTTTCATATTCCTACCTCAGAAAGAAAACCCATCAGCATGACTGGTAAGTTAATATTGCATTTCAATTTCTTCACCCAAAACTGAAACACGCATTTATACTTATCAAAACTTTATGTAAAGTCCGATGTTCTTACACATAGCAACATTATAAAGTATATGATAACTCTGTTTGTATTAATCAATATTGTATCCAGACTCAAAGTCTTCTGCACAATAAAGCACCAACATGACTCTTTTTATGAATTTGTTAAAATGATAAATTATTCTTTAAATGAAAGCTGGTTTTATTTTTTTCACAAATATTGCATTTTACTTCCTGGAAAACAGTAACTATTTCATTTCAATTGCTTAACCCAATACCATTTACTAACAATTTTCTCTTGTATAAAATGGGGAGTTCTTAACTACTTCAAAATGATATAGTTATCACTTGAATAAATCTTATATATTAATATTTAATGTGTACGACAGAGCATTGCATCATCTATATACTACTTTATTCCACCTACTGGTAGCTTGATAAATTCATTTTCGTTGATTGCCGTCAAGAACAACTTGAGAACAACTTGAGACAAGCTTTAGAAATAATTTTCTCAATTTGCCGGTCTTTGGGAACGTATTTTTCTCAAATAGGAACGTTTGCGCACGCCAGGTCACGTTCTTAGCCGGACATAGAATCCACACAAAAGTTATCCGCGTAAGAAAATAATCCGTCATAAACAAATCAGCATAAATTTACGAAAAAAAGGATAACAACATCACTGTAAGCGTAAATGTGAACATGGACAAGCCAATGAAGACATGCTTATTTAAAAAATAATTTGTCATTGCTCAGTTCCTCGGGAGATTTCACACTCACTTATTCGCAGCTTGACAAAGATAGCAGTCGGTCTTGAAACGTTGCGACACATTTAATACGTACATTGTTTGTGTAAAAAAGTAAAACGTTGATATCACACATTTCCAAACTGATGAATCTTATTGAAGAAATTCGTCATAGTTTTAAGGTTCATGGTATTCCTCCTCGCAAACCTTATATTTGTTTACGTTTGTCACAGACCGAGGATTTTCGATCGATGGTCATTGAGCCTAGAATTCATTTGAAAAGTATGGTGTTGAGATGACTTTTTGATTTTTTTTTTTTAACTCAAATACATAAATTCACTTTTTCATATATATATTCAACATTTCCATTATCATTATCGGAACTTTTATCGGCACTTGCCTTAATTTAAGAACGAAATTGAACGTTCATTATAATATTGATATATTCGACGGATCGTTCAGATTACAATATGTGATCCTTTATAATTTTCAGTCTCAACAAAAAAATCCGAGGTAAGAATCAAGCTGTTTACTTGTGTAACTTACATGCAACATTGTTTTATTCATGACACATTCAGAAATATTTGATGCTTACAAATATGAGTTAGCGTATGAACGCTAACGTATATTTTTTCAAGAAGACTCGTTTTTAGTTGTTGTATTTCAGCTGATTCGATTGATTTTCGTTCGTGCATAATTAATATCAATAGCAATCAGTATATCATCTATTTTGGTTTCGCCACAAACTGAACTGATCATATGAAGAAATAGGAAATGAGTGATCTGTAACAACTAGTGTTATACTTTTGTAAAGTTGTTCTTCACAATACTACACGAGCTTATCCGACAAATAGTATCAAGTCAGAAATCAAGTTCATATCTATATGCTTTAGTCATTTGTGATTTTTTGTGTATCTAATATTATTGATGAACTAATAAAATGCAATGACATGGAAACCTTATTACTGGTCAGGCCTGCACATACAGATATGTTTACACAATGGATAAATATGCGCATTGACATCTTAATACTTAGTGATATTATGTGAAATATCTGAATATTTATTTGTAACAGGAACGAGGCAGGGGACGTCTAGATCCCTATGAACCTAGCGATAGCTCGTCGATGGTAAAGTCCCTCTATGACGCATGTAAATCTGGAGACAAAGAAAAACGTTTCAAACAGCATGCAAACTGTCCAGAGTTGTTTACACAGAACAGTATCCTGTTCCCTAAATCAAGAAATATAGATGGCTGTATCGCTGCAAAATATTCGGTGATTAAAGAAAAAAGAAAAGCGGATAACAAATCCTTGCTCCAAGAGGCCCGTCGCTCTGACAAGTCCTCTCTCGTGGAAATAACACGTGAATTAAATAAGTATGAAATTTATGACAAAGATGAGAAGGAGCATAAGATAAACAAAACAATCCGTTAAATGACCAATGAAAACAAAATTCAGCATACTTGTAACATCAATTTAACGTTATATAACATTAATGCAATTTAAAAAATATAAAAACTACCATGCAAATATTTCAACGTTATTTCAATATCAGAATATGTATTCTGGAGATCTTTTTTAATATTGTCATGACATTTAAGAAATGTCACTTAACGTTTCGATAACCTTATTTCAGTGTTGTATTTTTGAATGTTAAATTCATGTTTTAAAAGATATACACGTTCTTTAGGTAAAAGTGTATCGGTTCAAGTGTCCATACTGACATGTCAACATAACATTTGGTTTAAACTGGATTTGGCTTTCTTGTTATCTAGTTCAGTTCCTTGGGAGAAGTCACACTTCACCACATGTATGGGTATTACTGAAATTATATAAGATGTATATTTGTCAAGTTTTCCACGTTTTCAAAGAAAATTTAAAGAGGAATGACGGCCAGGGCATGTTCGCTTTGATCAGGCCCAATATTTCAACTGGACTATAGGACTTTTTTTTTTATATAATATATCCTTCTTTACTCCAAAGCTATAGCTGACAATGTGCATAAGTCACTCATTGGAGTTAACTCCCCTTACCTTTACATCAATATGTTTACAGTGGAAAGGTTTATTGTTGCTGTTAGTTCAACCACTTAAAAAAGAGTTGTTTATTTCCATTACTACCAGTTCAATGTATTAATCTAGAGTTACCTATACTTTCCTGTCAGAAATATGTAACAGATAAGATATGACTGTAAAAGGAAAAATATATATTTCTAGACTCTTACACTTTCCCACTCTCTCTCTTTTTAAAAAGATGTTTATGATTCAATACTCATCTTAAATTACATATTTTACATGCCTTGTCAATCACTACTACATAATATCGGGTGTACTATATTTCATTGTTATTGTACAGATGCACAAATCAATAGTACATGTATATTAAGAATATTAAAATGCTTATCTCAAAAACATACATGTATATAAAGAATATTAAAATGCTTATCTCAAAAACATACATGTGTCCATCATTATTTATTGAATGTTGTATTGACCAATACACACGTTCACGCGCCCATCCTCACACATTCACAAAGCGTATATTTACACAAATATAAAATCATATCCATATCTGCATACCAATGTAATAAAATGAAATAAAAAAAAATAATCAAATAGAGCATGTCATAACATCCCTTTTTCGAGAAACTTTGCAGCTCGATATATGGTTTCAAATGTTATAGAAAGATTGAAAACAATTATTTCAGGTCTATTAATGAAAGGGTTCCAGTTTGTATTCTCTTGTGATACATGTATTGCTAAGTCTTCTATTTAGCAAATTATCCAAAAATGCAATACACTTTTGTGTCACTTTTTAATTATTGACTAAAGCTTAATAATAATGTCGGCCTTTCATATCCTTCAATATCAGTAATAAGTCAGTAATATTTTTCTTGTAATGCATTGGTAGACATAAATGGACATGCTTCCGAAATAAAAAGCATAAATCCCTCAAAAACTGTAAATAGATGGTCAAAAACTGTAACATTTACAGTTGTGGGATCGCACAACGTTACACGATGTGCGGTGCGCGCACGATATGTGCAGGGTGTGTGAACGGAGTGTGCACGATGGGCGAACGATAAAAAGCTGGACGATCATTTCTTGCGCACATCTGTGCGCACGATGGACGGACGCTGTGCGATAACAATCGTAGTTGGTGTAAATTGAGGAATGCCTTAACAATTTATACGGTTTTGTGTTTAAACATATAAACTTGATGTTTACGTATGTTTCTATATTCTAGCAACATTTATAAACTTATATAATTATCTTTATGTCTATACATTCTTATAATTAGAAATTGTGTTTTCTGTGTTTTTAAACAAACTTAATCGTCACATGTAAAATTAAATTAAAACACAATCCCGAATACAGGTAGACATAACCACTTTGTACATGTACCTGGACCGTAGTTTTCTCGCCGCCTGGGACACTTACGTAACTCGTCGGGTAAGGCCGGGGGGGTAAAAATCCAGGTGAAGGGGAGCCATAGGCAAACAAATGTATGGCATATCAGCTCTTTGTGTCAGGCACTGGTCAGGTAAAACTCCGGACACTCATAAAATTGTTATTTACCTGTTCTGTTACCTTGGAGCCAAACCCATTCTTGACAGCCTTACGGTCGTTGTAATACTGTGTAACACGCATTGTAAAATTGTGTAATCTTGATTATTGTGATGATAAATTACATATATATAAACAGTGTACATTATCGTATAAAAGCCTTCCGTATTTTTGTCATTCCGTAATTTTGATCTTCAAATTATACCAAATCGCACAGTTGTGCGGAGAGAATCGCACAACGGGGCGAACGATTGCTAAATCGCACAGTTGTGCACACCATGTGTGGACGATGTGCGGATGGTGTGTGAACGATGTATGCACGGTGTGTGCACGCTTTTTTTGGTGCGTTGTGCGGTCCCACAACTGTACAAAACTCTCTATAGTCAAAAAGTTTCCAATTTTGGTTGAACATATCGCGTATTTTAACTATACCTAACCCATACCACAGTGGATAAAAAACGACTTCTTGTTTATTTTATTTTATTGATTATAACTCAGGTACACTGATATTTTTGAAATATGCCAAGGTTTCAAAAACGTCACTCCAAAATGTATTTTTACATTTTGTTGCAATGTATTTAAAAAAAGTCTAAACCAAACTCATGAAAAATTGGTGAAGGAATCTGAACCAACAATATTGTTTTCCAATTTGATAGCTTCTTTACCATTTGGTTTTTCCAAGTGTGTTTCAAAGAACTCATTCATTATTGAAATGCATCATCTTAAGTCCTCCATTCACTGCTTACTGAACAAGTGATTGTCTAGCTATTCTGTCTACTGATCCTTTCCAAAAATATGAAATTTTTCCCGAGACTTGATAGATTTTTGGGAGACTCACATTTAAATGAACCAGTTTCGAAAGTGCATAGGTTTTCACAACAGTAATGTTACTAATCATCGTAAGATTCCTTTTACTCAATGATATACAAAGTTTACAAATATCATCAATTTTACATGAATAATTTCACTCTATCATATCATTTAAGTTTGTACTATAAATAAAACCAAACATTTTAAAAGGTTCATGAGTACATGTCAAGTGAAAAGACATACTATTTCTTTACTACCAAATTTTGAATCGATCCATTACTGCCGACGTTTTAGAAATATTTGGTGCTATATCAGAGAATTTAGAAAAATGATCAGGCAAATTCATTGCTGCTCTAAATAAGCTATCAGAACCATCCAATATAAATCCAGGTTATCAGCATAGTGCGTTAATTTTAAATGTGTTTCTCCAATTTTGATTCCTTTAATTTGTTTTTGTGTCCGACCAATATCCCCAGTATTTCAACAAACAATAGAAAAAGTATGGGTATAACGGGTCCCCCTGTCTACAACCACGTCCTATATAGAACACTTCTGAAAATATTCCATTCTGAATAACGCACAGGTACATATCTTTATTTAGGATGTTGACCCATTTGACTATGTCTTCCCCAAAGTTGAAAAAATATACCGTTATCAATAAATTTCAAAGAACGGAATAAAATGCATTTTTTAAAGTAAACTAAGAGTAGAAGAGCAGGAATATTTTAAAGTCTTGGTATACTGCTTGGTATCATATACAATCCTAATATTTCATCAATGAATCTTCCAGACATAAACCCCTTCTGACTCTCTTGGATGACATTACCCAATAAGTTTTTAGTTTTTGGCTACACATCCTCAAATTAATTTATAAAATATATTTGATAAGATAATTGGTATCCAGTCTTTATCCCTAGGTTTGTTTCCTTTATGCAATAATGATATACTACCTTGTTTCTGGGAAGTGGATATATGTTCTACATCAAAGGAATATTTTGCCGTACTAGGAGACTTATCAAATCAGACCAGAAACAATTGAAAAATTCTGCAGAAAATCCATTTGGTCCAGAGGCTTAATCACTCTTTCTTTTTTTAACGACCTTCAACATTTTTTCTTCCCCAATTTTATCCGGAATTTATATTTTGTTATCATCACTTACCCATGAGAAGTCATAGTTGCTAAGTAGTTTTTCGAAGTCAACATCTGCTATGTCATCATCTTTTAATATACGAAAAGTCTTATACAAAAATATACACTCAGAATTCATTTTGGTCATTGATTACCACCCTTTTATCATATTGTAATTTTTTAAGTTTTACCTTCTGTGTTTCTTTTTTCTAGGATTGTAAAATATTGTGTTGGTCTTTAAGCATTTTCAATCCAATTTGTTTTAGTTTTCTGAACAAAACCCTTCACGTAAAAAAATCTTGATAGGATTTCTTCTACCTCAAGTATGTTTTCTTTTTTTCAGGGATGTAGATTCTCCAAGGATCCACAAGATCAAGATTGTTGTTTTTTAAGTTATCACTTCTGCTCTTGCCATTGTTTAATTGATATGTTTATAATTGTAAGTGCTTATTGCACAATCTTGAACCAAATTGAAAACTCCACATATAACTGTAATCTCCCCTTCCATTTCAGATAATATATATCTATACCAAGCTTAATCAAACAAATCGGGACGATCTCGATACCAATACCGATTAATAAAGTTCAAATTACCTGAATGGATTGAAATTTCGATTTCAATAAGATTGTCATCATTGTCTATTACTTTCTTCCCAATGTTACAAGCAAAATTAGATTTGAACAAAATCGCCACTCGCCTGGAATTTCCTTTAAAAGTGTTAATACAATCATAGCCCAAATGAGACCGATATATTAATGTCCTTTCCGTAAAATGAGTTTCATGACAAAAATGTATTGAACAATGCTTCTTTCTCAAAACATTAAAAACATATCTTCTAGTATAAATATCACCTGAACCGTGACAATCGAAAGACAATACTATAATCGTCATCTTCATTTATACAGATTTTAACAAGTATGTGGTTATTGAACTTATGTTTCGCACATGAAGCAAGTGAAATATTGACATGCAAAAAAGTTTAACAAAA